AACAAAATATCACCCACAGAAAAGTAAATTAGACAGCAGAAAACAAATTGTCTGTTAAATAACTGTTTGGCACAAGATTCTGAAAAACTCTGATCTCATAATGTTCTCATTATTACAAGTCATCCATCATGGCTAAAACTATTTCAATTTTAGTGGAAGCCAAACTTATGATGTAATATTTTTATTAATTTGCAAACCAAAAATATGTAAATATGATTTAATGAAAAGATCTTTCTGCCTGTCTACTTCATAACACTTGCAATATACAATAAACAAATCCTACACTATAAAATATTATACTATAGAATACTATATACTGTAGAATACCATATACTGTAGAATACTATATACTGTAGAATACTATATACTGTAGAATACTATACTGTAGAATACTATAAAATCAATATATTCATGTTGTTTGTAGTGAATTTTGATGTTAGAGATTTGGAAACCACTTATGCTAAATTTTTACAGGATTTCTTGTTTACTTCCAGCTCTCTAGCTGTGTTATGTTAAATATGTTTTGAACTGAATATTTTTATTGATTTTTCAAAAAAAACATGATTTACTTACTGTTTACTAGTTTACTAGTTTGAATTTGTGGGTGAAACAAATCTTAAATTGGTCTATAAAAAGTGTGAACTTCATTGAACTGAGACTGTAACTATATTCATAAAGTTTTGTTGGGTCTTAGAACTATAATGTATGTGATAACAGTGTTTGAATTATCTCAAAATTGTGTAACAGACACCAATTTCACCAGCCCTGTCAAAAAGTTACCAGCCCTGCCATTGAAGATGATTTTAAAATACTTTTGTTTGCATTCCAAGTAAGCATCATGAAAACACAGCATTTTGAATTGTTGTACCGGTATTCTTTATTTCACAACTTTTATATCAACCATGAGAAGAGAATAGCATTCAACTTTATTAACTTTATTTAAATTTTCAACATTTTTATTGAAGCAGATGAGGGAAATGTATGTTTTAATTTTTGCCAGCCAATCTTGTGAATTACCCATTAAGCAGGCAGTACTGA